AAAAGTTGAACATTGCTCAACTTTTGCAGCGAGCCACGCCAGCAACACTCCGCGTCGCTTCCCACAATGCAGTTCGGCTAAAAGTGACGTCACCCCATTCAATGTGAATGGTGAAGCGTCAACGCACGCTGCTGTGTGGACGGGCCGTTAGGGTCTCAGGACAAAGGGCATCGGGACGTTTCGGGACGAATCCCGATGGGCCGGTACTGAAGTGGGCCGGTACTGAAGTGGGCCGGTACTGAAGTGGGCCGGTACTGAAGTGGGCCGGTCGGACGATGTGAGCCGGTCGGATAAGTCACTAGCACCCCCCGCCCCCATTGACAATTTACTAGCGGAAATTCATTACTTGCGGTACCGAAGTGGGCCGGTGGAGAGTCCCGGGCTGATTTGTAGTCCCAGTCCGCCCCTGAATATAATGATAAGTGAGATGTTTTTGCTCACCTCAGTCACAGCCTCTATCGATGCAGAATGTTTGAGCAGGTGATCTATCACACGCTTGTGGTTCTTTTTACAAGCAATATGCAAAGGGGTAAAGCCATTCTGTAAGAAACAAAGGACATATTAGAATCCCCACGATGATTCAAAGCAAGTGTGCAATGCTTGAATACATCGACTGTGTGTTCATGTCACTGTGCATGTGTCACTGACCAATGCCCGAGAGTTGGGTTTGGCCCCTTTGTCCAGCAGTACTTTGGCCATGCGGTGGTGGCCGCAGTGCGCCGCCACATGCAGAGGGGTGAGGTGGTCCAGTGTGATGTCATCAATCTCTGCGTTGTACTGCAGAAGCTGCTTGATGCAGTCCATGTGGTCCCCCTGTGCTGCCATGTGGATTGGAGACAGGCCGTTCTGCAACAAAAGGAAACAGGAAACAACTTGTAGTGAAAACCATCTAGAAAATCAAGAAGCAGCAGTAAGAGTAATCTATCACAAACTCTCCCTTTCCTTCACATACAAACTCAATGATTTGCACTTTTTCAGTTCATTTTGAAGTGAAGTAGAGAATTGACTTTTCTTGTATCAAGGTGGATTACCTTTGTCTTTGCCTGTATGGGGGCTCCATGGTCCAGCAGGATCTCTATGATCCTCACGTGACCGTTTCTGGACGCACAGTGCAGAGGGGTCAGCTCATCCTGAAGAGAGAGGGTTGTTAGGGATTTAGTTAATGATCCATGAAATGAGAGACTGTAAGAGAACTAAATATGTTATACGATGGATGTCTGCTGCACCTTGGTCTTGGCATCGATCTGAGCCCCTCTGTCCAGCAGGAGTCGGACCATGATCACATTCCCCCGTCGGGCTGCAATGTGCAGAGGAGTGATGCCGTTCTGCAGAGAGGGACAGGCGCTTAGACAGGCACACAGAAAGACAACAGACAGCAAGGACAGAGATGGACTTTCCAACAACATCAATTACTCCATACCTTTGGGGTGAAGTTGACATTGGCTCCTCTATTGAGCAGCAGCTGAGCTACGTTCAAGTTTTCATAGTGTGCAGCGATGTGGAGGGGCGTGAATCCAGTCTGCAGGGGAGAGAACATGTTACTCCTGTTAGCTTTGCATTTTCATTCAAAACTGCCCAGGGCTAGGACTTCACTATAATGGCCAGCATTAACATCACGATTACTTTGATACATTTCAAAATCACACTTATCCATTTATTTAAAAAGGACAAAATAGTTTGATTTTACATTCAAGCATTTGCAGGTTGTGCCACATTCCTGCTAATCAACACATCTTTGCATCAAAATAACACTTGTAAAAGTACCTTGCAAAATTAAGAGCATGCATTTTTAAACGTCAATCGATGTCGTACATGTAGTGAACATGTCTACACTCATTTCTGCCCACATGCATGCCGACACACATACATACCTTGCTGAGTACATCAGCGTTGGGGTCATTCTGCAGGAGCACTGCGGCTGTGCGAGTGTCGTCGTTGCGGGCTGCTATGTGTAGCGCAGGTAGTCGGACTTTTCCTTTAGTGCCGTAGTTGATGAGCAGGGCTACGACATTCTCATGTCCTTGCTGAAGAGCCACGGCGAGAGGAGTGAATCCATCCTGCCGCGCACAGAAGAAAAGTAAGACTAGTTGACTCGTGGAGAGAACATCAGAGAGGAGTAAATAGAGAGAGCTCATGAGAACAAAACAGAATGGAAACACAACGATTTCTAGATCAGCAACGATGGGGGGTTGAGGAGTTTGGGAGATTACTCTTTAAAAACGTTTCTCGGCTCCTTGATCTTTAGTACCTCAGTTGGAATGCTCTGATTGGCTCCGTTCTCCAGAAGAAACTTCACAACCTCTAGATGGTTTTCTTGTGCAGCCATGTAGAGTGGAGTAAAACCCTTCTGTTCTCAGAAAGACGCACAACAGACACCCCCACACAAACACACACACAGCAGCAGAGGAGACACAAGCACAGCAAAAAAAAGACAGGAAGACGGTCACAGATGCACGTACAAGGATGTACAGAGACAAGGAAACACCGAAATACAGATATATAGGTACACATACACTTGTTAACAGATGGGATAGCTGGGTTCACATATTAAGCACTGAGGAGCCTCAGTGTGTCCCGAGACATCCGCAGTGAGAGCCGCACTCACCTGTGACTGAGCGTTGACATTGGCCCCGTAGTTAACCAGCTCTGCGACCACCTGCTCCTGCCCGGCCAGGGCCGCGATGTGCAGGGCCGTGTTCCCTTTCTGTTCAAACGCAGTTACATAGAAACACACACACGTCATACCGAGCACGAACAAAGATTATAGGTGAAATTTGTAATAAAAAAAAAGTGGGTTATGGACATGTTATGTTTCATACGCAGAAAGATCTTTAAATATATATATATTATGTTACTTGTGAATTCAAAAGTTGTGAGTTTTCAGATTTATTTAGAGTAATTTCCTGAGAAAATTATAGCTTTTATGCAGTGGATTTTTACCTTTGTGGTGGTCTCCAGTACGATCCCATTGTGGAGTAGCTCCAGCACCATTTTAACGTGGCCTTCTTTCGAGGCCAGATGCAGCCCGTTGAGCCCATTCTGAGTGAGAGAGCAGAGAAGACCTCATACTGAAGGGTCCTCAACACACTATGAATACAGATATCTCCTGATCTAACAGTAAATAACCACACGTATACACATAAACACATGTAGGCCATGCCAACTGGTTAATTCTTACCACAGCGACAACAGCACTCACAAACCAAAGGCAGGCAAATACACTTCTTACATACTTACACTGGACACCACACATGCAGTACTCTCAGAATCAAAGTGGTCATTAGCAGAAACAATGTCTACAGGGATGAAAATCAGGATGTGAACATTTTCTTTTGATTAATGATAGTGAGAGGAGGAGGTGGAGGAAGAGGAGGACGGAGGGGGATGGCAGGCCGCTGGTCTCGTGGCTGGGAAGAATACGAGCCGTGTGGGATAGGTCTGACCTCACACAGCCTTCCTTCAGCCGCACAGGACATGTGAGGTTGGACCTTTCCCACACCACTGATATTATTCCTCTGAGTGGGGAGACCACAGCACACCATCACTCTACTGCAGACAGAGGAGAGGGAGGGGAGGGGAGAGGGAGGTAAAAAGCAAGAATAAAAGGGAGGTGAGTTAGGAAACAGTGCACCAACAGAGGAAGAGGAGAGAGGAGAGGAGAAGCTGTTAGGGGATAGAAGAGGAGGGAAAACACAAGAAGGGGCGGGCAGGAGTGAGGCAGTGTGCTGGAGAGAGGTTTCCACTCAGACAGGAAACACAGCCTCCGCCTGTACGCACAGCATCAGGACCAACAGTCACACAACAAGGATCTCACCAACTTCAAAGTTAGATAAATTCACTCTGTCTTATTGTAAAAATGTAAATACAAATCGCTGCTAGAGTAGAGATTCACCTGAGACTTGTGTTAATAATTAAAGGGTTAATGTACATTTAGTGTCCTATTATTGTATAAAGCCCACTATTTGTTAAAGTGGACCTATCATGCTATATTTGAATAATATAGTGTAGGACCATACCTATATAAGGCATATTTATACTTTTTATTTTTCAAAATACCAAACAGATCATGCATGAGCCTGCCAAGGCACACAGGGGATAGGCCCGCGTCAATTAAACACCCTGTATTTTTGCATCATGGGCTGGTCTGTGAGAACACACCATCTACAGGCTGGCATAATGACTACAGCGTCTCAGCCGCTTTCCAAAGGGCAAATGTCGTGGGCTGTTCCTCCTGAATTGGTGGAGTTTGGCCCATAGCCNCCATCTACAGGCCTGGCATATGTACTACAGCGTCTCCAGCGCTTTCCAAAGGCAATGTCCGTGGCTGTCTCCTCCTGATTGGTGGAGTTGGCCCAATAGCCGTAGCGCCACTTCTGTGACATCATAGAAGTGTTCAAATCTGGATCAGTCTGTATCAGATCCGTTGCAGCCCCTTTTTCAGAGATTTGGGTATGGAGGAAAATAGAGAGGGTTGTGTTTTCTGACACTTGGTGAGTTCCCTGGAACACCGGGGACACATATTCATGTATAAAAGACGTACAAAAGTGCATTTTGCATGATAGGTCACCTTTAATTTTGATAATATAATAATGTACCTGCAGGACTCGTTTTTTTTTCTATAGATTGAATTCACTTTTATAAGTAGCATTGGATAGAAGCGTCCGCTAAATAAAGTGTAATGTAGTGTAAGGATAATGCCTGACTTTGCTGTCATCACACACTGTTGCTTGGCTTAAATTTGATTTGGCGAGACATTTTAAATTTTTCCAGAAACAAAATAGTAACAGAATAATTTTAAACATGCTAAATCAAACACATGTGGGCTTTAGGTGAAAAACTGCAAGGCAATGTGTGTGCAATGGGGTCTCATAATTACAGCCAGGATGTTGTAGATTATCACTTTAACTCAAACAGTTAACACCAAACAGTGGAAATTACAATTTCATACAACAATTATCAACAAAACGAAATAAAAAAATAGTGAAATTCAGGAACATTAATCTTATACGTTCCCGTATCAGCCTGTATTTCTGCATGTAATTATATTTATAATCCATTGGGTGTCTCCATTTATCACACTGAAGGAGTTGCCAGTAAAAGGCCACTTTACAAGAATACATCTGTTGTTATGTGGGTCTGCTATGGAGCATAATAATAGGCTTTATAGAAATCCGGACAGAAGCATTGCCAGCTTTAATTACAAAGTGTCAAGGATAAGTGAATGGAAGGGAAACCTGACTAAGTTAGATTAATGAGGCCGAGGAATCTTTTATACATGCAAGTTTTGGCCAAGTTTCAGTAGCCCGAAGGCCGCAGTCCTCCCCACTAACGCTGCCTCTTCCTGGGAATAACCGTTAGAATAAAGGAGGCAACAACCGTCAGAGTAAAGGAGGCAGGATGGAAGACACAAGGCAAAGGAGAAGCCCCTGCCCCATTTATCAGCTTCCCTGGAGACCCTGTGAGCTCCTCCTGTCACCTTCAGCCAATGATTAAAACCTGAGCATGCACATACTGAGGGCACAGGCACATTACAGCAGTGATCAAGACACGTCATGCACACCAAACACATTTATTAAGAAATAATAATACAACATAATGGTGGTGTACATGGACAATATCTAAGCAGAGCATTCTTTAAACATGAATCCCAAATGAAACCATGTTATTTTGTTTTATAATGACTTAATCAATTCACTGTTTGTCAATGTCATTACATTCATCATTACTACAGTATTGTTTAAACCACCTCCTGAATTTGTATTTCATATCTTAGAAAGTAGGGAAGACTCAATCCTGGCAGGATGCCACTGTGGGTCATAAGTGGCAAACAAATACTCATAAATATTATATTCTGGCCACTACAACGCAGTACAATTCAATATCAGTTTTATCGTCAATTAAACCACGAATGGAAAGTGGAGTAGTGATAACATTAAATGGCTTACAGGTACATGCGTTTTCCAGTTAGAGGCTTTTACTTCCTGATACTTAAACTGGGGAATGTGCAGCTCTCTCACCTGATTGGCTGTGTTTATATCAATGCCATTTTTGATATGGTCCAGGGCCTTGTCCAGGTTGCCAGATCGGGCCGCTCGGAGAAAACTGTTGCCAGCATCTGCCTGGAGGCGTAAGAGAGAGAGGAGAAGAGAGGAGGGGATACGGGGTATAAGAGGAAGTGAGAGACACATAAAGTAGAGGAGTAGAGAGGGAAAATGGAGAGGGAGACAGAGTTTGGTTAATATTTTCTTCAGGGACATTTGAAGGACTGAAACCATTCAGTCGTAATCCATCACTTTTCCTCTCATGTCCCTCTGCCCTTGAGATTTTGGACAGTGCAGTTTGAGATCTGCACCTTGAAATGTGTTTGTCTATGGTGGGGTGAAATATTGGAGTGAACAGCTCCTTGGACTTCAAAACCTCTCAATGTGTCCACAAGTCTGTGATTTAAGTGATACGGCATCTTTGATAATAGAGACAGATCCTTGAGTGTCTCCTGGCTCTTTGTTTGGACTCTAAGCTTAATGTGTGTGTGAATGAAAGAGAAGAAAAGAGACACAAGGTGCATAGCAAAGAGGAGAGAGAGAGTTTGGTGATTCCGACTCACGGGCCGGCACATGGCACGTCTAGTGTTTTTGTCTGCGTTTTGTCTGAAGCTTTATGCGTCTCCCAGGCAGGCTGGGGTGCAGCTGATACAGGATCACTCATGCGGCACAGAGGGAGAGCGAGGGAGAGCATGGGAGAAGAGGAGAAGCGCCAGAGACCGAGGGAAAACCACAGGGAGAAGCTCGACTGCGGCAAACGCTGCACTTTTTCTATTTCATTTACATAATCTCCTCTCTCCCCTTGCCCATCCCCTCTCTCCATCTTACCAGCTATCTTGACACTGCTGCTCATCAGCCGTCCATTCATTCAGAATATATATATATATATATGTTCACAGACGCATAGAATAAATGTGTACTAACCTCATTTTCAAATCCAAAACAAAATCACCATATGCTGCCAAGTAGCTTTTCTCAACTTTATAAACAGTGCTTTAGGCTTTGCCGCCTGTTGTTTTGACAGGATTGTTGGTCCACTTCTGACAAAGATGGAACGACCGTGAGTAAAAAGGGAAAGGATCCACATGCCTGAAGTTGAGTCATAGCAACAAATGACACAACACACCCTCAGCAGGACACAAATGGCACAGCGCTGTGCAGAGAGAGGTCACTTTAAAGAAGGCAGGGGCGATGTTGGCAGGGCAACAGAAAACTTTAAAAGGAAGGTTTCTTCCAGCTGATCGAGGAAGCAAAGCGGCGACTGACAAGATTCTTGTTAGATACAACATTTATCTAATTATAAAGTGTATACTATGAGATGAACTTCATGCAGGTCGTTTTAAAGTTGTAAAACATACATCCTGGACTTAATGTGAGAACCTTTACTTATTGGAGCCATTGGCCTCTGAGTCATTTCCATTCTCTCCAAAAAAATAAATTATTTTAAGTTTGCTCACAGAAAACTAAGAGGCATACTCTAAAGTATAACACTTCTGAGTCACACTCACACACAAAAGTAAACACTTTGCGTACTGTAAAGCAAAACATATATATGTACAAAACTATGACATTACAACGATTGCTTTTATAAGAACCTACAGTTAAATAAATACAAATTTAAACTCTCTAGACTAGCTCTCTGTACAGTGTCTCAGCAAACAGTTGTATTTACTCACAGTTGCCAAGCTGTCTTGGTTATCCATGTTCTCCCACTTCCTAATGTCTTACTCCCATGACTCTCACTTTGAAGAAAACCCACAAACCTCCTCCTCTAGAGCACACACACACACACACACACACACACACACACACACACACACACACACACACACACACACACACACACACACTACTACTACTACTATAGTACGTACTACTACGTACGTACGTAACGTACTACACACACACACACACACACACACACACACACACACACACACACACACACACACACACACACACACACACACACACACACACACACACACACACACACACACACACACACACACACACACACACACACTTTCTACAGTTAAACTTCAAGGTGTGTTACTCTATAAATAGATAGATACATTTAAATGATTAATATTAGGACCTGACCACTTTGTATCTTTGTATGCAGGTATATAATCCCCACACAGCAACCATAAACAACGTAGTGGAGTCTGGATTGTTTGCAGACTCTGCCATGGTGACACAAGGAAAATCCTTTCATCGAAGTAGCTGCAAATACAGCTGATGCAAAAACACACACAACCTAACACAAATATACGTGGTCCCGCAGCACGGTAAAACCATGGTGACCCTGACTGAGGCCCCTCTGGAGGATTCCCAGCCCCCCGGACTCAGCTCACTGCCCCCGAGATACAGCCTGCTGAAGTTTACGAGACTACAGAGACTCTCTAATATGCCCCAGAAGGACTGCAGCTATGTTTGGTTGCAGCTGATTTACTCTCCTGGTGGTCAGTGCTGCATGTTGCTGTGTGTATCTGCCTGCGTCATGAGGGGAGTGTGTTGTTTTGAGATAAGGATGCAATGGAACCACACCCAACACTATCAGTGGTAAAAATAGGTACAGTGCACAGGCATCTTACAGGGGAAACACACACGGAGCAGCCTAAAGATGTCCTGTGGAATTCCACTGCTGCATTTTGCCGGACGATTAAGATGAATGTGTCCCTCTCTGATTATTCCTATAGACACGCTTCAGGGCTCTGGGTCGAAGCAGAAGCTTTATCATTCTGTTTGGAGCAACGGAACAGACAATAACCTTCTCAGCACCCCCATGGTTAACATTAGTGATATCAACACACTGTCCTCAGGATGCGACGGTGCAAGGCTCCTAATAATGAGGCTCAGAATTACCAAGTCAAATCATTCCCCTATCTCATCCCAAACAAATCCTCTAGCCTGAACTCCCCTCTCCCCGTCTTCAGCTCAGCCTTTCTTCCCGTCTCCATCCCGTTGCTTCTTACATTTCACTCTCCCCCTCCTCGCCTCCTCTGCTGGTGCTGCAGCAGACAGAATGACATCACCGCCTCGCTGGTGGACTGCAGTGTTCGGAAACTCAACGTATACGTATGTGTGCGTATGTATGCATGAGGAGACACGCTGTAATCCCGATCTTCTGCAATGCAAGACCTGAAGAATCATCATTTTCACAGGGGATCGATTGTCTGTGTATATGCGACAATTCTGAATGGAATCAGATTGAATGTGTGTGTGTGTGTGTGTGTGTGTGTGTGTGTGTGTGTGTGTGTGTGTGTGTGTGTGTGTGTGTGTGTGTGTGTGTGTGTGTGTGAGGGGGAGACATGAGACAATGCAAGGCTTGAATGGGATTGTAGAAAGACTCCCACGGTTTCAAAACTGTGTTTGTGATCTAATTATAAAGAAGGTGAGGATTTGGGAACACTGTTCTGCGTCCACTGTTAGCTTCACATTGGCTATTATAACTCTGCTATGTGTCCATCTGAAGAAAATAATCTCCATTCATATTTTTCTGCAGTGGCTGCTTGCTGCCATGCACACTGTGTCCGGATTTCTTACAGATCATTTACTGCTCTATGGGATTCAGAGAAATTTCAGCAGCAGAGCATTCATTTAAATCATTATGTCTGAATTGTCTCTTTTTATGATTTAAGCGAATGATGGCTTCTTTGGTGGCTCCGAAGGCAATCACCTACCATTTCTAGCTCAATGAATTGCTACCTAACATAGATAAAAGTGTGCAGGCATGACAGGGTTAAGCCCCCACATAAGAGGTCTCATTGAGACAAAAGAGAGAGCCACATTTTTTCCCAATGTATTCCTGAGACAAATAATGATTCTCTCAAGCAAAGCTCTGGGAATGTTTCTCTTGGATATGGACTATTATCGACTCAAGAGAATCTCAGTATTTCTATAAGAATAACCATGAAACTCACAACACACAGGCACAGTCCCTCCCTCTCACACACACACACACACACGCACGCACACCAACAACAACAACACGAATCTGCAGACACAGCGCCAGGTGCAAATCATAAATATTTTAAATGCTACCACAGCTATTTGTACAGCCAGCAGAAAGGTGAAAATAAGGTGCCTACAGTACGTATGTTCAGCATGTCACAAGTCATGCTTCACTTGCAATCATTCCCTGAACTTTAAACAACATAAATCGTGTAAGCACACCAAAAACTCTGGATAATATCTGCTGTATTTCCCCCAGCCAAAGTCCACACCTCAAAGTATTTAAAACAAACAGAACGACTGGACGCTTTCTATACGTTTTAGGGCAACACTGAACAGCGGATATGGAAATTACTGCAGAGTGCTTAAACAGCCATTTTATCACCTGATTTCTGCTGACTTGCACTTGGTCTTGAAATTGATTTCTTTCTGCTCTTTTTTTTTCTGTCTTGGGGCTTCATCTCTGCCTTCATCTCTCAGAAGCATCGCGCTGTTTCCAGCTAGAGACTTAGTGAGTGTATAGTCAGAGGACTGAGGCCCCAGGGACCGATCAGTATTGGACACATTTACGGGAAGCTAGTGAGCGTACCGTGATATAGCGGCTATGTTCCCCTACTCAACTCTGTCTGTATGTAAATCTGTCTGCTTCTATTCCCTCTATGTGGCAAAGCAACTTGTCCCATTTTTACTATTTACTTTCTCACACTCCCAGCCTCCCCCTCTCTGTATCCCACTGTTTGTCCCGGCCGAACTCATTGATTGTCTCTTTATATCTGGCCCTGCCTCAGCCTCTGCGCCTGTAGATGAGATTGTCATGGTTAGTGTGAGCTTTTGTGGCGGGACAATGAGGGTGAAAGCCATAAGGAGGAGATAGGGTTTGGAAGCTATGGAGGAGAGGATCAAGATATGGTAAACATCCTGTGTTCAACTGCACAGTTATTATACAGAATATAATCGTCTCGAGGGACTAGAGGGAAAATTAAGTCTAGATATTAGACAGATCTGAAATCTGTAAAATGGAAGTCTAACAAGTAAAAGTACATATTAAAACTTTCCTGCAATCATCTTATCATTAATGTAACTTAAGAATGCTTCAGCTACAAACAGCAGAACAAATTGAATGCTTAAAGGGGTTGTGAGTACTATTTTTCACAGAGCTGGAAAGTATTTTTTCAAGTACTTTTATACGAGTATACACGTACTGCAAGTGAACATTTGAAGTAGTCTTATCTTTTTTGAATGTTTCTATGTTATGCTGTATGCACCTCAACTACACTATAATTCAGAGTGAACATTTTTAAACATGTGACACCTTAAATCAACTGTTATAAATTAAATTATCCCGATATCAAATGAGTAGAAACTAGCTCAATGTTGAGCATTAAAATGATGCTTTTATGTTAAAGCTTAGTTAGATTAATCAAATTAGTATACGTACAATTTGCATATAATGATCTGTAAACCTCCTTCTGCACAATAAATACTGCAACTTTCAATACTTAAGGTCCTTTCAGTATGATACTTCATTCTTTAACAGATCATTTTGAATACATAACTTTACTTACTTTACAATTTAGTATTCTTATTTTTACTCAAGTAAAGGAAACAAATACTTCCTCCACTACTGCTTGCTGTTTTTCGTAGTTACAAGTACGTTTTGGCTTTGATCAGTGGTCACTTTTATGGTCTACCTACATGCAACTGTGTCTTATCTTTGGTAGATATAATTAAATAGTACAAAGCTGAAATGCTTAAAAGTGAAAAAATCAAACCAACTACTAATAAAAATGCTAAAATAACTGCATTTCCTCCTCAGACTGCATGACGAAACACAAACGGCTACATTTCTACAAGTTGCATCATCACTTCCAGTTCCCCGAGGTTATCTGCGGTTGACACTAAATTAGCCCTCAAACACATCCAGCAGCAGGGCCTTGTGGGCGTCCGCCCTGATCTGCCATTACCTCCGCAGGCTCAGTAGATTAAACAGTCTATAGTCTTCAGTGAGACCACACTGAAAGCATCTCATTAATTGACCCACTAATCAGTTTACTGACCTCCAGTTTACTTACCACAGCTAATCCTGGTTGACATCATACAATCTGAACATCAAACAGAGGAACACATGAGGTCAAAAACAAGATTAAGGAGTAAAAACAGAACATGATACACACCCACATGTATACGCACTTACACTAATCTTGGACGCACATGCATCACAACCCTCAAAGAAACTCCCAGGCGACCAAACCCCCTCATACGTTGCTATGGGAGGCTCCGTTTGACGAGTTTGATCTGGACAGGCTACAGTATGTTTGGGGCTGTAAGCAAAGATGTACCATGTTGTTTAAAACTTGTTTACTGCTTTAGAGCTTTGATTAAAAACATAAGAAGTTAATCACAAGTTTGTACAAACGTCTGATCACTTCTTAAACAGGACCAATGTTTACGTCTCAATGACCTGCATCTCTTTCTCTCTCAGCCTCTCTTTTTCTATGTCACTAGGATGAGAGCATATTCAGGACTGAAAACAAAAACAAGCTTTGAAAGTGAAGCTGCGGAGAAGTCTACAAAACAAGCTGATGCGGAAGTAAATACATCAATATTTATGTTTAAGAGACAAAGTAAATAATAAAAGGACTTTAAAACTTTGAACAAAGCCAGTGACTAAAAACATGCCCATGACTTTCTGACGTAAAAGACAGGGAGCATTGGCAGGTGCATTACATCTGAGAAATGCAACCACGGATATTATATAAGAAGGAAACATTGCAAAAAAACACAGCACGATAATAAGAGTGGTAAAGAAGCGTACAGGTGGAAAGAGATGATTCGAAGGGAAGGAGAGACACAGGAAAAGGGATGAAGTTAGAAGAAGGTGAAGAGGAGAAGGTGGTACTCACTCCAAAAGTGACGGTCTTGACTGGCATGCCTGTTGGCCCTCCACTCTCTCTTTCTTACGTTTTCAGTGTCTCTCAAAACACACAGCTGTCTTTTCTGTTGCCCCCTGCGAGTTCTGTGGTACGGGGCACGCAGACCCCCATCCAACGTAAACACACACACACGTACGCCCAGACACACACACTTGAGTAAGCATGGTGGGTGGAGAGTCTGGGGAGGGTGGGGGTCGAGGGGCCCAGGGTTTTTATCTCTGGAGGAATGCTGCTTGTATCTAAAGACGCACATTTCACACACAGCCAAAAATAAAAAGCGTACGCTCGGTTTCCTGATCGCCTCCTGGTAGTTTTTGATGCTTTCCTATTTCTTGAATTTTTTGCCTCAAACTTATTTTCCGTCTCCAGCTTGTTCTCAACCTTCTCCTATCCTCTCTCACACTCTACACTCTGCTCTCCGGCTCATCTATCCTTCCCACCTTTCAGGTTTTGTTGCCCCCCAATCACTCTGCGTCACCCCCACTGTATCCCTCCTTTCTCCTGTCCCTTCTCCCCCACACGTCACGCCCTTCTATGTCTCCTGTATGTTTTGTGACAGCCAGACAATCATGTTTTTTTCAGGGACCAGGCGATACCAGAATAGCGTAGTTACTGTGGAGAATGGGTGTGTTTTTCAGAGCGGCTCTGTTTCAGTCTGTGAGGTGACTTACAGTGACAAAGCGCATGGCGGGGGGGTTGCTGCCACCGCCCTGTGACAATGGGCCAGACACATGGGGTGGGGGGAGCACGGAGGGGCCAGCTTCTCAAAAGGCCCTGCCTCTTTTAATAAAGCGTCCGTCATTCCCTGCTTGAAAAGGCCTCCTTTTCTCTACCTCTCCCCTCCTCTGGCTAAATGCTGGGAAAAGCACATCGCTGCCAAAACCATGCAGAGAGATAAATGCTCGTAGGAGAGGGGAAGGAGGGGGCGATGTTAGGGAAGGGTACGCACTTCTCAGTGCCGCTGGACCGTGACCTGGGCAAAAACATCACGTGGGATGTCTCTCCTGTCCACGGTATTGAGTTTGGACACAGATGGGAGCTCCACTGCCAAAGAATGTGAGGCAGGGGCCTGCAGACACTAATGTCCATGAAGTCATGACAAATTATCCTGTGGTCTTCAAGGAAAAGAGGACTGCAACTCTTCCCCTCTGACATAAACCTCCTCTGGTTCAGCCTGAAGTCACTGCGCTCATCTGAGGAGAAGAAAGATAACTCATCAGGTCCTCATGATGACGAAGGTTCACTCTGGAGGTGTCTAATGCCAACGAGTTCAAGTTCAACTTTAAGTCTCCACTCAAAATGTGCTTTGCTTATTTGAACTTTACTTCTATATTTTACTTTAGAAGTAAATGTATGTACAGAGTTTGACATGTGTCTGCAGAGTGAGGAAAGTGCTTAGTTTGACAGGTGTATTCAAGCATGATCTTGACTTGGCCACTTGTTTGTTCAAGTTACGAAAGTGTGAAACTGGAAGTTGACACTTTTAAGAAGTATTTTGCACATTAAAGTTTTGCACAACAGTGCTTTCAGAAACATTACCGATGAACTAAAAGTAAAACAAATATTTTAATAATGTAATCCCAATAAGGCAAACACTAATTTAAAGCATATTATTCTATGTTTGGAGTGCTTGACCCTGAACAATTCTAATGTAAAACTCAACAAGTCATTGCAGAGATGTATTATGATATACGGCAAACAGTCAGGAGTCTGACTGAGGGAGGTTGAAGGTCATTGTGAAGCGTAGGCTACACTCCGGTTTTGTACCAGGGTTGATTTAGGTTTGGGACAGACGTGCCCTCTGCACTCTGTGTGGAGCCCCTCTTGTTGGCAGGATAAAGGCTTCAGATGTCCACGTGTGCTGCTTGTGGTGGTTTATTGCCCGTGTCCCAATGTCTCAGGGGACGGAAAACAAACACTGATGGTGTGTGAGCGGTCTTTCTTTAACATGTCACACTCTTTGCAGTTGACTGGCAAGAAACACACACCCACGCTGCCTGACATCCCACAGATTAAACAGGTCTAAATGTTTAGTAACACCTCCTCCATCACTGGCTGCAATGCTAAATGTTCTGTGTGCAAACCTGGTGGGGATCATTTCCATTTTTGCAATATTAAAGAAGGTTGGTCAACTTATTGTGCATCTTAAAATATATAGGCTTCAATGGAAGATTAAGTACAATCTCTATCAGGCATAACGGCCCTCTAGTGGCGGCCTGATGCTCTGCAGTGTTGGCCTGCAGCAGAGGGCAGGGCTGGGTCGGGATGATTACTGCAGCGCTGGCACCTAACACACTTACACATAACACATACACACTTTCAACTCCTTACCCTGTGCCACAGCACGTCCTCACAAGCTACATTAAGAATACTGAACTGATACAGGAGCGGTTTGAATCGGCATTAACAGCAGCGGGTGTTAGACCTGCCTTCCCTCAGCAGACAGATTACATAACACATGTCAGAGCATCCTCCCATATTTAAAAATGATCATACATACTGCTCATAAAGACGCCTCATCAAATGCACATGCACCTCAACATACAAAGCCAGAATGACCTGTGGAAGACAAAAAAAAGGAAGTTAGAAATACTCGGGCGAGGGAGGAGAGGAGAGCAGGAAAGATGAAGGCAATAGAGAAGAGTGGCAGCAGCAATATTTCAGAAAAGGGCTAGGCTGCCATTAATCTTCATAAGAGGGGAGGCGCAGTGGAGAGGGGAAATACAGAGTGAAGATGTGCAGGAGGAGAAAGAGATGGCATCACTGTGGACAGAATCTGTCCTCACAACTCTCGCTGTCTTCCTTTCCTGTGTGTGCAGTCTCTAAACACATCCTTTAAGACAAGAGCTCTAACCATCAGTCGGAGCCGGGCTCGAGTCAGCATCAGACAGGATCCCAGCAGCCAGGCCATAATTCAATCTGTTTAATGGACCCAGAGCCGAAGCGGTCCAAGTTTTCAGACTCTATTTAGACCTAATGTAATGTCCCTAAACTACGAGATACAAACTGCATGGGGACGGGGAGTTCACCTGCTGCTGTTCCTGTTGAATCAGAATATAACTGTACTGTGCTCTGGTGAAAAAGTGCAGCAAAAAAAAAATATATATATTCAACTGCAGATTAGAGCCAACGGTTTTTTTTTACAGCAAAATTGATATTAGTTTAAAAAAAGTTCAGAATGTTATTAATGATATCAATAATGTACCAATACTTGTTTTTGTGAAAATGTTAACAAGCTAAGATTTTTTTTTTGTATCTATGTATTGTGATTTAATCAAAGCACATTTCTGAACAGCACCTTACTCATCAGCCCAAATATATGCAGAGATAAATCAATGATCATAAGATTGGCATGGCTGATGTATCGGTTGGTGTTTCAAAGTCATATTTCTTTTACAAAACTTTGTGAGTTTCCCTACTTTATATGACATCCTATTTTAAACCCGTCTGCTTGTGAGCTCAAAGCAGCCTTTACCATTTGAATGGGGAAAGTGGCTTTTCAAAGCTTTTGTTTGGGCTTGCCTCAGTGCAGCACCAGCCTCATTTCTCACCGTAAAGAGAGGAAGCGGTGAGGAAACAGGCCGGGAATAAAAAAGGCTTAAAGAAGAGATGGATGGATGGAGCAGGACTGGGCACAGCGCTGATAGATACATGTTCTTGGGATGCTTCACTGAACGTGTGCCTCAGTTTCTTCTTCCACAGTCTTGTTGGCAGGATGATGGCATCTTCATCTGCAGAGCTCCGCTGAGTCAGCCCCTCTCTCCCCTCCCCTCTCTTAAACACACCTTCCATCATCATGGTATCTACACTGAAGCCGATGCCTGCAGACCCACAGACTTCAATGTATGGTCAGCTCTTAATTTAAAAAACAAATGTATATTTTATGCTGCTTGAAGCGTTCATATCTGCTGCCTCAGGGGCAAGAGGCTGAGCTGCCATGTGCATCTGAGATTGGCATGTTAATAAATATTAAATATAAGCAATTAAGGCAGATGCTCTCATCCGTCACTGCAAGGGCAGTCAGAAGAGGTAATACAACTGACGTCAATTACTCCCCTGCCTCCGTCGGACTACTTTATTGCTGCCTCACACATACAGATGTAAACACATTCACAGTCTTCACACACACAAACACTCATGTACGCATCCTCACACAATTTCACCTACAGTACAGTGCAATACATGCAGGTGCATAACACACACGCTGCCTCACATTCAACAAACACATATGCAGGTCAAGGCAATCCCCCCCCAATGCAGGCGTACAGTTCAAGCAGCCGTATACTCAAACTGAAGGACGTGCAACTCGTTGTCCGACCGTGTGAGGAGGCACATTTCTATGATAAAAAAAGACTTCTTTTTTATCATAGAAATGTGCCAAAACATGAGGTGAAAATGCATTTTGGCTGGTCCACTTGTCTAATAAGGGTACGGTGTAAGTTGAGGTGGGCCTTATACATATATCACAAAAAAGAATAATCCTGATAGTCAATCAGACACCGGTTACAATGCATACTGATCATTTGGTCCAGCGTGTTTGACGTCACAACTAAATTGTAAGTAAATGTGTATCCCCCTTCTTTCCAAAAAGAAAACAAAAGTGTTTATTAAAAAAAATGTAAAATATATTATAACAACTGCAGGAAGAACAGATAATGGTATTTGCTGTTCTGGTCTGTGTGGAAAACAAGACATGCAGGTCTGTGAAACCGAGCAGCTCTGTCCGAGCTTTTGTTTCAAATTTGTTCTTGATTTTTCTCGTACTTCCTATTCCCAGACAGCCAATCAGCTCCTCACCGTGGTTCATACCATAGGGTTGAAATATGTGGAGGACTTGGAAATGTGCACCTTCTTTCTTTTTTACATCTGAAACTTTTCGACCGGCACTTCTTTTGGAGTATACTTCAACCTTTACCATGCACTCTGCGCATTCACCTAAAACTCATGCACATGCGCAAATGCATGCACATAGATTGTCGCGCAGTTTCTCGTTCTCTCTTTTGTCACACAGAAACTCAAACTGATCGATTCAACCAAAGTAAAAATGGTATTGAAACTTGGTTTGATTTTCAAATAAGATAAATGGAAGTTAAAATGAGGAAAAGTAATTTTTTTTTTAACAGTGAAAACAATTAGAAAGGGTTTTC